GGCAGTGGGGCTGTGTGCTCAGCCAGCACATGCCTTGAGGAAAAGTAGGTGCTCAATTCCCATGAGAAATCAAACTGCCTTACAAGAACGCCTCCATCAGTAATCTAAAATTTGTCTGCCTTCTGCATTTGATCTCCTTATTTTCTTCTTATATGCCTTTTTAATGCTGTTTGTAGCCATTTCAATTATGTGATTTCCTTATCTGTATACCATAGAGAATACTGTACAAGACTTTATAAACAGCTACTAAGTTTATCTGCCTGTCATTTGGTTTTCATTATGCGAGATAACAATCTTTCTCATATCTTATAAGAAGATATAATGTGATTGTTTCTAAACAGGGAGGGGAAAAAAGTCTAGTCTGCATTATCCTTAGCCTCATAGTATTTGTAATGTTAGTGGTGTCAGCACAATTTCCAACATTTTTCCTTGCTGTGGTCCAGGAAGAATTATCTCTCCAGTTTTTTTGTGTTTGCTGCTATCTGCTCTTTTTCTTCATTTTAGACACAGTGAGTTTCTTATCTGGAGTGTGGTTATGTGGCCATGGATTTGCCTATATTCAGTCTGATCATTCCTAGCTGTTTCGTGGGGCTGATGCACCGAAGGGAAGGATGAGAGGCAATTGTCAACAGCTCACTGTATTAAATATGGATAGATATTATTCATGTAATTTGACAGTTCTTGACTTTCAGCTGTATAATGACAGTGAAACGGTAGGAATTTCAGCAGCCGAACTTCTGTCTTACTTCAAGATAAGCTTATCAACTGTAGCCTGAATCCATTCAACTCATAAGCAGATCAAAACTCATGTCATGCTGAACTGCTGTACTGATTGCTGCTTCCTACTATTGCTTTACACGTCCATATGGTCTTAGTTGTTTGCCATCTTACAGTTATTTTGCGAGGTTTTTAGGAGACAGACTGTTTCTTGTATTTGTTCAGCACATTGTGAAGCCATTGATGCCACCAAATTCGTGTAACACAAATACTATGTAATGAAGTGATAATAGGTAATGGTCAGCCCTTGTGTTTCCTTCTCTCTTCACCAGTTACATGCTTGAACTGCAAAGAGTAGTTGCTTTATTTGGTTTCCCATTTAATGTGGAAAACCACCGTGAGGTTTATCTTGTGCTGTTTATCCCAGAGATTCAGCTGGATCTCTGAACATGTAGGAATCATGCATTTCATTCACCATTCATGCACTCCCACCACTGCAGCATGGCGTGGCAGCTGCAGACTAAACAATGTCTTTAGCTTAAGGATTGATCAAGTGTCTGTGGAATTTCCATGCGCCGTTACATGCCTTCCGGATTACAGCACTGTTTCCAAACTGGTGGGATTGGGGGGGAGAAACAGGAGGGAACTGTGGATTTGGAGAATTTTTGGCAGCTGAATGTTCAATTTAAAAACAATTTTACAAAAACGAATTGTAAAAGCACATGTGAAATCTCTTTAGTCATCTCTACCTTCATTTTCTTCTCTACCAGTTCACTGGATTTTGATCTTCTGGGCTGTCAAGTCCTCCAGGCAACGATTGTCTTTCTGTTTCTGCCCATACAACGAAGAGCATAAGAAAATATAAAAATGTACTGATGTTGCTGATGGCTCAGGCCATGGGCTGGTGTCCTGTCTTCTGTCAGACCTGGTCTGCTTGCCATTTTGTAGTGTCCTACCTGTTGTTGGAAATATGGCACACTAAAGGATGATGGTTACTACAGACTTCACTTGAACATTTTTGAGTAATTTACATTTATTAACTCATCACTGATGCATTTTTCTTCTCTGATTTTTTTCTGGTCACTTTTTAAGTACACTTCTGGGTAGCAGTAAACAAAAAAAATGTCATTATCAGAATAACTGATGATACAGAAGTTTTGCAATTTCTTAACAGTAGGAAACCCTCAGCTATTTGCCTTTTTACTATAATATATCAGTAGAAATATGACTTCAGGTTTCAGAATTAAATGCATGCCTCAGTGGCTCGGTTTATGCATTCATAATTGTATTTACAATTAGAAATAATGTAATTGGGAATGGATTCTTTTTTTTATTTTTTTTACTGGCTGGCTGCACAAAATGAGTTTGGGAGAAAATGTAGTTTTAAGCCACGCTTTCTTCCCCACAGTTTAGGATCATTTAAGCTTCATCTCCATCATACATAAGGAAATTATAGGCTAATGAAGTCCATATGTGGCTGTATTACATCTGAAGATTGCTAGGTCCCTCACTAGATTCCCTTTTGCACAGCAAAGCCCCAAATACTGAGGATGCAATAGCAAAAGGACATAAAATCACTGCAGTGATTCTGCAGTTACACTGTGCAATGGTTTCCTGTAAATATTTTAATTCCTTTATTAAGGAAAAGAGAAGCTTTAAATGGAAAAGCAGATGGGGAGAGAGTGCATGGCATCATGTAATTGAGAATTCACGTGCCCTGCTAGGCAGGGTTAATGGGCATTGCCCTGCAGTAAACCAGCTCCTGTGAATCCTTGAAATGTCAAAGTGGTACAAAACAAGATTGTGAACCAGGTCCTTCTTGTTTTAAATGGAGGCTGCAGGGCAGCTCTGAACCCAAATGCATATTTGGTAGACACAAGAGGTTATTTACAATTGCTTACCTCTCATTAAAACTAATCTGAATGTTTTTGTCTGTGAAGTTTTGTTTTTAATCAAAAAAAAAAAAAAGTTAAATCTGTGAACCTATTTTTTCTTAAAAAGATGGAAATATTTCACTGGAAACTGATGGCAAATATCCTTGTTTGCTGACAGTTTCAAAAGTATTGAATGACCTTTTTTTCCCTTCGGCCTTTGTCCAAAATATGCAATGAAAAATATGTATTCACATATTTTGCACAGTGATTTTTGTCAAAAAAGTCATTTCCCATCAAAAAGAAGATTTCAAGGGATGTTTTCACTTGCCAGATTGAAAAACACATTAATGCTGGGATGCAAACAGGAGGGCAGATTCGTACAGTGGGCTTCCACACTTCTCATGATCCTTTTCAACAGGACTGTCACTAGCAGCACAAGGTGCAGCAATGTCAGTTTTAATTAAAACCTTCCGTTTTACCTACTGCACAGAACAGCTGCAGCATAAACTGAGAAGCAAAAAGACACCACAACATGTACAAGTTCAGGTTTTGTTGAACATAAACAGGAGACATTACTAATGTGAACTCTACACAACGCTGATTAGTCCAATAAATTCTAGAAAATGTTGATCGCATCTCCCTAAAACTTTCCATGCAAACGTCTGCTGATTTTCAAAGAACGTTCACTAGAAAAATATGCGTTTTTTTCCACAAGAAGTAAAAAACAACCATTTTATGCCCTAGATGTAAGTGCAACTGGCTCACATTCTTTACTGCTCACTGCTGGATACCATTAAATAAGAAGTTGCTGAAGTTAATTTAGTAACAATTATAAATTTAAGCTTGCTTCACAGACTTTCCAAATAAAACAATACTTGAGTAGATAATAGCTGTTTGCTATTATCAATCACAGTCAAACTTTGAAGATATTTAAGATGAAAAAGATTTAGGTAACAAGTATTTGTAGGTATCAAGTTCTTTTTGAATTTCAGTTTGACTGAAAGATTTGATAATGCAAAATCTTAAACCTACATAAATACATGTAACTCTCAGTCTATACTCAGAACTATCCTGTGTGCCTTTCCTGCTGCGCTGATTCAGCTGTCACCTCTCTAGGATGATCAACTTTGTATTTTGAACTGGTCAATATATAGTTCTTCAATTCCCATAGCCATGGAGTCAGAAGAATGACTTGGGAGTTCTGGGTTAAAAGGCCAACATTAGAATATGTTTTATGCTTCCCCCATCAAACTTTTTAATTGATTGCCTTGAATTGATTGCCAATTTGAGTATGTGGAGAAGAAGACAGATGAGCAGGTATGAGCAGTGGAGAAGATGTTACCTCCTTCCCTCCCTAGTCACTGCAATGGGGCTATAAGCCAGGGGTAGGCTCTAATCTCTCCAAGTACCCATTATTAAGTAATTGCTATAGGATATCACAAGCTGGTGTGCCTGATAGTCCTCATCTTCTTATCTGAGCTGTGGCTGTGTGGGCAGAAGCAAAAAACGTGCTTCGAAGCAGCCATTTGAGTGGAAAGGCCTACATGGGCCTGGCAGCCAGGTGTCACTGCAGCCATCATGTTTCCTAACCCCTTCCCCCAGAACTGATCCAAGTGAGGGAAGGCTAGCTACACAAACATGCAAGCTGAAACACAGCAGGGAGTGTTTATGATTACTGCTCTGTTATAAGCTGGTGGAGGTAGAAATACCCTCTGTGGGGAGCGGTGACAAAGACCTGAAAATGGCAACATCTTCTTTGACAGCTGGATCTAACGCAGGAGGCCATTCACCTACAGCCTCGGCCCCGCTGCTAAGTCCCTTTTGCCTTGGTTTCCCATTATATGCAAAATGCAGCTAAGCATATTCATCTCCAAGGAGGAGGAGATCATTAATTCAATAATGATAATCAAGCTGTTATAAATTGAAAAATTGCTAAGTCCAGTATGCAGCATATTTGTATTTCTTTGCTTGTTTTTCAGAGATTTTTTTTTCTTTGTGAGCATTCACAGTTTTGCTAGACGTTCATCTCATTTTCATGAGAATTTTATGAAAACCCCAGGGAAGAGCAACTATATTACCTGATGTTACCTTTATATCATAAGATATAGGTAGCAACTAGTTAAGAGACACAAAGGACCCTCGGAATTTAAACTTGTTAGGTGTTCTGCCTAATATAGCTGAGCAAGAATTTATGCTGGCATTGAAGTTTTCAGAGCTAGCCTATGCTATTTAAAATGGAATTTCACACTAATGAGCCTAAAATAAAATAATGTGTGGAAGGAGATTTCAAAGTATACTCAATTGTATCACTCATTCCATATAAACAGAAAAAAAAAAATACAAATACAACCAAATAGCACCCTCTTGCGGACAATACCATCCTTACAAAATGTTTTCTCACATATACAGATTTCGCAGTTTTAAGAGCTATGCTGGTCCTAAAGGAGAAAGGGAGAGAAGGTAAGATGCTGTACCTAACCTTTTATATTCGACTTCCCAAGGAAAACACAAGAAAAATATTACTATACTTTTATTTTTCCATATGTTTTATATTAAAACATGAAAACTGGATGGAAACAGACTCAAATTTGATTCAAAAGTAGATTACAGTTATGAAAGGTTCATTTTCATTAGTTTTATCTTTACTGTAAGACCTTTCAGACAGGTCACACAACAGATCTGGGTTAATAAGTTTATGTATCCGACAGAATGTTCATTTTTCTCTATTTCTGAACTTATCATAAACCACTTTTTTTAAATTTTTATTTTCAGAATATATGTTTTGAAACTAGTTTGTGGAGCTGCATTTTAGTCTGTAATTCTTTATGAGCAACTTGCTTTATGTATCTGATATTCTTCCTTCTTCAGGAAGATGCTCTTATCTTTCTGTTACCTTACTGAATAAATTTAATTATTAAGTTCAGGTTTCCAATGCAAATTTAAATGTTGCCATCAATGAATATGTTGTCACACTCTCTGAAATTCATGAAGCCTGATAATAGATGAATGAATTTGTTACAGGATTCCTAGAAAGAAAACACATATGACCATGGGGAATATTACCACGATAGAGGGAGATTTAATTGTGAACTGAAAACGAGTAATAGTTGAAGTCAGAAAATATTTCCCTAGCTGTGATTTTTGCATGCAGATATTATTCTAAAATAACTTAAAATGTTACCCCTCACGTTTGTTACCCTCTTCATGGTATTTTCAGTGTCTGAAAGAGGAAAAAAAAAAAAAAAAAGTACATCTTGTGACATGATAAACACCAGGCTAAAGACTTCTTTCAGAAGAATTTTTTATTTTGTTTTGTTCTCGCATCAGGACTGAACAAGCTAAAAACCTTGATATCTACAGATTTGTAGATAAAATTTCCTAGCTTCATTGTCCTCCAAGGCATTGTAAAATAACAAAGAAAATTTGGGGGTCATAGTGTCTTTCAGTGTGATGGCCAAGTTAATTAAAATTTGCATGCAAAGAGTATTATATATTTTGTTTATTGTTCTAACAAAATCAAAAACTAATCTACAATAAAGTAGAAAGAAACTTAGCTCTTGCTCATTTGGACAATCCCGTTAAACTCTGAAAAGACTTCTCCTGTAAGAAAAACTTGCAGTTGTTAGGAGCTGTAGCTCCAATGCCCAAGTCACATGATTTTAATAAATGATGTATAATTATGCAATACAAAAGGAATTTTATTTTGTTTTATCTGTAATCAGCTAATCTAGCTGAATAAATTTTTAATTTAGAAGTTGGAAAGGTTTATCTTTACTAGCTACGATTTAAGCAGAAGTTCTTCCTCCTGTCATCTGACAGTAAAACATTCCTCTTTTCCTTTGCACAAAGTGTGGTTGTGAGAAGAGGAAACACAGTAAAGGTGTTTTTTGTGCAAATTGATAGGCATTGCCTGTACTGAAATTCTGCGGTCTTTTCTATATGCACAGACTTTGTGAAAGATGGCAAGATTTATAGACAAAAACTGAAAGAAGATTATTATTTTTGGTAAGCTTTGGAGTCTATGAATTAATAAATTCTAGTTGTCCTGGCTCTTAGGAATTCCATTCTGTCTAAATTTCAGTTTTGTTTTCTACTTTCCCTCCCCAGTAGAGTTGAACCTGGGAATAGCATCACTCAATGGCTCGTTAGTTTGATAAAGTGGCATAAGTGACTATAGCTACAATGGGTACTTCTAGCTCAGAAGCATTTATAGGTCTCAAGGGAATTCTGAAAAACACCAGAAAGTCTTTAGGTACTGAATCACAGGCAAGTATTTTGAATCTTTAATTTTTTTTATATATTCTTTTCTATGAGAATGTCAGAAGTAAAATATGGAATATGCTTTTCCCACTTGGTTTCTATTACTTGTAAAGCATTCAAAAGCTTCTAGAATAAAATTACCTCTATGCCCTGTTAGGGAGCAGGCAAAACTCCACTGAGTATCAAGGGAGTCCCTCTGCTGGTGTTGCTTTCCATTTTTAACCCAAATATAATAATAAAAATGACTAAATATTAGACTGGAGCTGTACAATCTTAGATTCTGCATTTATTTGTTATCATGTTTATCCCAGTGGAGTTTTACTGTACTTTTATATTTGTACAGAATATGCTGAAATAAATTCCCCAAATTAACTAGTTTATTTTCAGATGTGACATATGCATCATCATAATAACTTAAGTTTGCTTTAAAAGTTTGTTCAGAGGATGATAAAAACCAATTTGTATTTAGAAAAAAAAAAAAAGAGAAATGTAAAGAGATGAGAGGTACAGGAAGGAAAGGCAAGTACTGCCAGAAACAGCTTGCAAAGAAAAAATTGAATTATATATTTTGAAAATAAATAAATAAAGTTTCAGTTGTAGAATAGTTTAGGGATACTCCAAATCAGCAAAAACCTCAAGTCTATGCAACTCTCAGGGGAAAAAAAAAAAAAAAAGGCACAAAACATTTCCTTAAGGATAATCAGAGCCGGATATCAGAACAGTGTTTTCACACACAAAAACCCAGAAAACCCAGGCCACCAAAGGCTGTCCGTGCACCCAGCTTAGGTATACATCCACTGATGCAACTGGTCATTTGTTCTTGCACCCTGCCACACATCCATTGTGCACACGGCATCTGAACAAGGAGCTTGTGAAAACCAAGGCTGCCAGGCATAGGAAATGAACAATTTATGCTGAGAAGCAACTGCAGATAATCAGAAGTTCCCTGAGAAACTGAATTCAATACTGAAACAATACAGCTAACTTTTTCTGATCAGAGCTGTGTATCTTCTACTGTGGGACAGATGTTGAAATGCAGGTGTATGGTTAACCCCATAAAACCCTTAAAATTTTCCCTGTGTGAATTTAGGTCTGGTTTCTGACAAAGACTAATTAGACATCTCAACATAAAAATGTATTTCTGTTTTGCTACAGGATTCAATTGAGGCTTAATCACAGTTGTCAATGTGCTATTTCAGTGAATAATATTTTCATTTTGAGTTATTTTACAGCTCCTACAGCAGTAAGAAATATCTTAAGGTACTAGCTGATTATTTAGACTTTATTTATTGTAGAGGCAAGCAATGACATTGAAAATATTGTATAAATAGCTAATACGTTAAACAGCAAAATACCTACTATGCATTATGAGTTGAAATGACATTATTTTAAAACATTTGAAAAACATCATCATAATTATGTTATCAGCACAGAGACAGATTACCTATTATTTTAACATAATTAATTTGAGCTCAGTGGATTTATGTTGCTGTGTATGTCATTATCCATCAATATAATTATGAAATGCTAAAAATTGGGTTTTGAATCTTTAAGTTATTTTAATTGGCTGGGGTTTTTTTTGCTTGGTTTTTTTTTTGTTTTGTTTTGTTTTGTTTTCTCTAAATCCACCCTTCATTTGTCTCCATCTTCCATGTCCGAAATTTTTAATTAAAATTTATATTTATTTTTTCATCTGTCCCTAGGCCACATTCCAATCTCACTTGCGATGTTTTTGCACCATGGCCTTCAAGAGAGATAAGCTTTCCCTCTTCAGTGACCGCAAGCTTAGAACCAAGTTTATATTCTTTTCTTGCAATACTGTTGGGGTTTTTTCACATCTTATTGGTATGTTGCCCTTCTTTATACTTTTTATACCTCTGCTTTCTATTGTGTCTTGTTTTTTGTTGTTGTTGGTTTTTTTCTTTTAAAACTATTCTCCGGCAGCCTGTGTGAAAGGCAAATGAAACAATAAATGGTGTAGTATTTTAAAGGGCTTTCTCTATTTCTCTCCTGTCTAGCTCAACTGATAGCTGTCTTCCCATTACTTCAGTTAGTTAGGGTTTTTCTTTTTCTCTGAGCTTGGAAGGTAGGATACGTTGCCCCTGTGTGATCTCAGACGACAGGGGGCTGGATGGAAACGCTGTGTGAAGGTAGAAGTCTACACATTTCTTGTCGTACATAAATGTCTGTCTCCAGGAGAGTGTTCAGGCCATATCTGTCCAACGCAGTGCCCAGAAATGCCTGTCTCAGAGTCTCTGATGAGGCCTGACTTTTTTGCGCCTCTGTCTGATTTTTTCTTTTTCTCTCATGATTGACATTTGTCTTTTCCGGGCCTTGTTTGCTTGCACTGCACTTGTAGGCAGCCTGAAGCAGTGCAGTATTTTCATTTCAGTCAGGTTAAGGGTGACGAAGATTACACATGCATACTGATTTATGCCTTAAAGGCTGGAAATAGTGTCAAGTGTGATCTCAGCTGAGCTCTGCTCGATGACTCAAGTGCTCAGCACAATGTTATACTCCCAGACATCAATCCTCATCCAGTGAAATGAAAACTCTGTCCAGAACATCGTTCAATAAAGTCCTGATCTGTAAGTGTTATTAGTTATTAATAAGATAATAATGATGCTTTCCATGTTCATGCCAAAGCCTGAATCGAGCCTTTATTGGGCTAAGTACTGCTGAAACACAAGGCAGTGAGCAGTGCCAGCCTCAAAGAGCTCTCAGCGTAAATGTGCAGTAGATAACTGGTATCTCTGCAAGTCACAGTATGCACAACCACATGGGCTTCTGAGAACGATTCACTGTGAAGGCATTATGATACGAGGTGTCAGTCCAGTATCTTTGGACGTGGGTCCTTACAGAATTATATTTGCAGGTGCCACATGTCAGGAGTTCTTTGTAAATAGCAGTTGATCAGATGGTAGAAGTTATTTGGAAAAATCAGGGTTTTTGTTTTTGTGTTTTTTTTTTAATATTTCACAGTCTGTATTATGTTCATCAATGCCTATTGACTGTTGTTTGTTTGTTGTTTTCTCTGCCTTCTTCTACCTGTACAGGTAAAACAATAGCAAAACAAAGGCCAAAGAGAAGTGATTTGACAGTTAGTATTACCCTAAGGGAAAAAAAGGCGAAGGACTTGAACCGCAGACACCAGCATGGCAAGCTATTGGTTATTCTTGTGCGGGTGACTGTCCCCCTCTAGTTTTAACCTCACATAGCTGTATGGACCTGAAAAACTCTTCCCAACACAGGTATCACCAGAATTCTAATGGCCATATTGAAAGTGTCAGAAAATTCCCTGCCAAGCTCTATTTGCAGCATTCTGGGAAATACCAGAGATGAGAAGAACAATGCACAAGCAGTCCAAGACTGAACGCTTCCAATTGCCTTCAGCCCTTGCCAACACGGGGAACTAAGCAGTTTGCTTTGCTACTGACCAAGCACTTTCTACAAGATAGCTGGAAAGAATGGTGGAAGGGGGTGGAGGGAATTCCTCTTCCAGATGCCAGTTAGCTCTGAATCCTTTCCTTTAAGTTAACACATTTCTTCAAGTGTCCAATGGAATAATGAAGCAAATGCTTCTAAAAGAGCTAGTAACACACCAGACATGCAGTCATTCATATCTGAATGTAGTGCAACCTCAGATCATTCACGTATCAATTAAATATTGTTACCCTGACACCCAGTCTGAAACAGCAAGTACATCAGTGAGTAGAGCTGCAATGCTCTTACCCTGCTGTATTTGTTCTGGCAATCAAAAGGGGGCACATAGACTGCCTAACTGTCATTACAGGTCCTTCGATAAGTGAAAATTCACTTTTAACAAAACACAATGACTATTCTTTTCTAATCAAGTCAAGCAGGCTTGTATTCTAATGAAAAGGCATTAAACCAAGGGAGAAACAGATTAAAATAAGTTATGCTATACTGCAAAATACACCTGTGACTGCAACTATAATTGGTGGATAGACAGACAGGCAGTCGCTCTGTCAGCTTTGGAAATGGGTCATGGTGTTCTGGAAAAAAACAGCAAAATGAGTTAAAATTCAGCTTTCAGTTCTACAGCTCTATATACACTGTAGAAAAATAGATTCAGGTTGATTGATCGTACTCAAAGCTGTGATTTCTTTTGGATATACTCCCAAAACAGACTCATCAGCACTGACCAGATTCCTATTTCTGTGGTATACTTTGCAGCTACTGGCTGTGTAGTCATGCTAACATAAAACCATCTGTATTTCCTGAATCAATGTAAACTTCTTAATTTTTATTATTTCAGGGAGAAGGTGATTCTGAATAAATTTTGAAGCTGCTAGCAATGTTCCATGTTCAATACGCATTGTGTGGTGTTCATTTGTCTTCCTTTTTCTTTAGTATTTTAATGTATTTATCAAAATTTAAATCTGAATTTGGATTAAAATATACGCAAGGTCTTGAACTGAGATAAATTTGATCTTTGCATCCAGCACTATAATGTGCTATTGAACACAGTTAGCAGGTTTCAAAGGCCGGAACTAGGATTATCACCTTTTGTGTCTTATCTTGGCCCCCTAACAATCCCATGTCTGTGCTATATTGTTTTGGCAAAATGGGTCAACGGAAATGTCAAGCGGACGCCGCTTTCCCAGGAAAATAAAACTTCAACTGTAATATGAACTGGCATCTGAAATTCTGGGTATGTTCAGTGCCTGTGCAAACTATTTTGAGTTTATTAATGAATGTGTATTCATTACACGTTTACGTCTACACAGTTACATCCACACAGCTGTAAAACTGTTCAGTAGTAAAATCAAACTCACAAGGAAATACCAGAATTAATACTTTTTTTTTTTTTTTTTTTTTTTTTCCCCACATCTTCATTTGTATTACGTGATCTTTGGTTACACCTGTTAGTCCATCCTGCTCCTGCAGTGGCTTTACGCCCTTATCACCAGGTGTTTTCCTCCCTGCTGCTAGATGGGGCACACAAAGCACAGAAGAAACATTCGTGTCTAACACAAGTTTGAAGGTATCAGAAGCCTGAACTGGATGTAAAGCATGCCTGGATGGATTGTGTCCATCAGAGACTACAGCTGCCAAGCACTGAGCCTTTACTGACTACAAGCAAATATATATTTTTTTTTGTTTCATTCAGCTTGGTGAAATTTAAATAGCAAAAGACATCTACCTGAACTAAAAGCTACCTAACTTCCAAATTTCCATTTTCTACTTAGTGTACATATAGTGAAGTGAGTCTTCCTTGAATAACTGCATTTTTAATACAGGACAAAGCAACATCTCAATAATGTGGCACTCCAAAACAGCTAAGCCAGTTTGTTGCAGCGAACCACTAAAGGCCACGCTTCAAATAAAAATAAAATAAATAGAAAAATAAATAAATAAAATAATTATTATTAAAAAAAAAAAGTTAACACCCCCCCCTTCACTACCCCCACCCCTATCCCCACCCCACTCCCCCTAAAAATGGTGTCATTTTAGAAGAAAGTTTTCTACAGCTCTAAGTACACGGAACACTGACTGCCTGTAATGGACATTTAGGCCTACATCCAGAAATCCATGCAAATGAAGAGGTTTTCCAGTAACTTCAGTGGGCATCAGATTTTTATTGGGCAGTATAAATGATATTAAGTTAGGTTTGTCTTTGAGATTTGTGGTGAACATGACTAAAGGGCAGGTGAGGGCCTGGGGAGGACAAACGGCCTGTAAAACAGGACATGTAGAAGTGGAGGATGGCTTTCTTGTGATGATAACCATCCAACCATTCTCAGAAGTTACTGCAGTGTTGTCCTAACTATCAACAATCTCGCAGTATATGGTTTTGCATGATGACTAACACTATGCACAAAGCAGGGCACTTCTACCCAGTCAAGGAAAGTGACTGCCTCACTCTACTCTGCGTTGGCGAGGCCTCACTTTGAGTATTGTGTGCAGTTTGAGGCAACACAGTTTAAGAAGGACACGAAACTATTGGAGAGTGCCCAAAGGAGGGCTATACAGATGGGGAAAGGTCTAGAGGAGAGGATGTATGAGGAGCAGCTGAGGTCCCTTGGTTTGTTCAGCCCAGAGCTGAGCAGGCTGAACAGAGGCCTCATGGCGGCCTACTGCTCCCTCAGACAAAAATCATAGAGTTGGAAAGGGCCTACAAGACCACCTATTCCAACAATCCTATCACCAATACTACCCACTAGACTACTAAATCATATCTCACAGCACCTCATCTAGGCACTTCTCAAGCACTGCGAGGGATGGTGACACCACCACATCCCTGGGCAGGCCGTTCCAGTGCCTGACCACTCTCTGAGAGAAAAAGTTTTTCCTGCTATCTAATCTAAATCTCCCCAGGCGCAACTTGTGGTCATTTCCTCAAGTCCTGTCATTAGTTATCTGAGAGAAGAGGCTGACCCCCTCCTCATCAAAACCTCCCTTCAGGACATTGTAGAGAGCAATGAGGCCACCCTACTGTCAGGCAGATCAACACTACCTCCCAACTCGGTGTCATCTGCAAGCTTACTGAGGGTACACTCAATCCCCTCATTTAGGTCACCAATAAAGATATTAAACAAGATAGGCCCCAATAGCGACCTCTGGGGGTCCCCACTTTCCTTCTGATGGAATGGCACGGATCTGTGATGGGAGTGCCAGGCCTAGAGTTAGGAAAACGTTTTTTACTCGGGGGTGGCATTGTCACAGGCCCCCCAGGTACGTAGTCATGGCACCAAGCCTGTTGGAGTTCAAGAAGCATTTGGACTATGCTCTGCCATGTGCTCTAAATTGTTGGGTAGACCCTTTATGGAGCCAAGAGTTGGACACAATGATCCTTGTGGGTCCCTTCCAACTCAGGATATGATTCTATGATTTTGACAACACTATCAGACATAGGGCCTGATTTTTGTGTGGTCCTGTGTGGAGCCAGGACTTGGGCTCATGATCCTTGTCGGCCCGTTCCAACTCGTGATATTCAGTTTCTGTGACTAGGCGCATGACTGAAGTGAGATAGCCAAAACTTAAAGACTACCTCAAGCTGTAATTCTAGCACCTGTCCTGCCTCATTTCAAAATTCAAGTTTCCAAATTCACACACGCCCTGCCAGACACAGAAAAGCCTGGCTCAGGACGATGGCCTCGTCAGGAGGTAGGGCTGGCTCACACGAGCTACCTCTGCCTCACAGACACAGCTGTGCAGCACAGCCGCCTCAGCACCAAGGCTTCACTAGCAGCTTCATCAGGGCACGGAGCCCGGGCTCATGAGGCCAATGCGGGCCGTTACGGGGGGCAGGAACGATCGGGCTGAAGAAAAGCCCGAGGAGCCGAGCACGGCGGTGTTATAAGGGGCTGACATGGCGGAGCCCTGAGCGCGGCGGCAGGTGAGGGCAGCCGCAGCCTCGCCGCCTCCACTGAGCATGCTCGGCCCCTCCACATCCGCCGCCGCTCGGCCGCCGAGAGGCGCGGGGGGGAAGGTTCCCCGCCGGTAATAAGGCCCTTGGCAGGTGGCGGAGGCGGCGTGCGGGGCTCGCTGCTGCCATGAACCCCGGCGGCGGGGCGGGGGCGGCGCCGGCTTTCCCCGGCCCCGTGCAGTGTAAGTGGCGCAGCGCGCTGGGCGGGTTATGCGCGCTCCGGGGCCCGCGAGACGGAAGCCGGCTCGAACCGGGGCCCGGCTACGCCCCGAAACCTGAGTAGCGCAAAAAGCGAGGCGGGAGCGGAGGAGCCCGGGAACCTGGCTGGGGGGGAACCCGGGAATCTGGGTGAGCGCCCGGGGGCTGCGGGGCCCGGGCTGGGCCTGGGCGGGAACCCCCAGGGGACCCGGGGCCTGCGGGGAACGTGGCCGCGGGCATGGGCATGGGCCGCAGCGGGCAGCTCCGCCCCTGGGGGCCACGGGCGCTCGGTGTCGGTCTGCTTAGAATCATAGAATCACAGAATCACTGCCCCATCTGCTGCCGTTCCAGTTCCAGGAGGCACCACGGTGCTGGTGGAGCTCACCCCGGACATCCACATCTGTGGCATCTGCAAGCAGCAGTTCAACAACCTCGACGCCTTCGTCGCGCACAAGCAGAGCGGTTGCCAGCTCACGAGCGCGGCGGCCGGGGCCACCAGCACGGTCCAGTTTGTGTCTGAGGAAACGGTGCCCTCGACACAGGCACAAACTACGGCCAGGACCATCACCTCGGAGACCCAAACCATCACAGGTATCGCAGTGCTTCAAAGCACTTGCTCGTGCAAAGCAGCGTTACATTGCTCCCTGCACATGTGTCCCCATCACACTAAGGTGAACAAACTGGTCACACATTAGTTGTCACATCTGTGCAAAGGAAGGAAGAAAACGAGTGTTGTGCAGCCTCAGTGTTGGTGTGGCAACAGATACGAGTTCACTTACAACAACGCTAACGTTGTATAACCAAGTTGTGCAAACTAATTAAAATTGTCAATACTTAGGAAAAGTAATCAAATTGCTATGCATTTTATTTTTTAAGAGTGCTTTTGATGAGAAACAGACTCGGAATTGCTGTCAGGCTCTAATCCAGGCCCTTTTATGTGAGAACACTGCATTCCCTAACATTGCTCCCACAAGTAATTGGCAGAAAAAAATATTACTCAAAATTTCTGTGTATGTGAAGGCTGAAGTAAGGTCCTAATCCTGCAAACATGTAAATAAAACTACAGTTTTGTTCAATGTATGAAGATTTGTCCTTCTATATATTGTTTTGTTTTGCCTTGCTGTGGGATTTTACTAAAATTCAAATTACTCGATTTTAAAGTTGTACAGATAGATTAGGACAACAAATCTGAAAGAGTAGTGAAGCAAAATGAATTCAGGGCTCACTTCCAGGAATTTTTGTATTATAATCCCTCAACTCAGTGTGGGTTTTGGATGAGTCACTCTTGTGCTTCATATTTACTCATCTTTAAAATGAGGGCAATTATATCCTTCTGCCCTTTTGGGGTGTAACATTTAATTGATTTAAAAGCTGCGACTTTGCCTGACAAAGTTGTACCCGTTATGAGTAATAGTTAAAAACAGTATTGTTGAAAGAGGCTGAACTCTTTAATTCTTTTTTAATTTATTTACATTATGCCTTTTTGACAATATTAGCCATGTTATTTTTTTTTCTTTCCTTTAAGCTGTAGCACAGCCAGTGTTGAAAACCAAAGAGAACTTTATTAATGGAAGACCTGGACAGGCTTCAGAAGCAGAATGTTTTAACAATGCAGTCAGATAGGATTCAAACAGGGAGACAAGTGGGCCTGTGTAGGGTCATACGAAGCTCAGCATGGCTCATGTGGTCTTTACAGAGTTTTCATCTGATAGCAGGATAGCAAGGGAGAGAAATGCCTTTCT